GCTTGGAAGTGAAGCAGCCAGGACTCTGACCAGCACTCCTACGGGATGCCAATGGTGATGCTTCAGATATGGGCTCCATTCTGCATCATGACACCTGGCCAGCTGTCTGACTTGTTAAGGTCAGGGTTGGTACCTCGTCAAACACCTCCTTTGTGAAACAGAGCCTCTTGCTGGTGGGTGTGTTAATGCACTGAGAGCACTGTGCTGCCACCTTAGAAGCAGGTTGCCCCATGAGACGTAAGCAGTGTTGTTTCCTTGGGCTAAGAGGAAAGCTCCTTGAATGCAGCTGGCATCATTGGGAAGCTCATCTTGAAGTGCAACCTTGTATCTTCTTAGACATAGTGTCTGGACTTCCAACCACCAATGGGATCATGTGGTGACCCTGAGGCTGCAAGTCTTACACAAAGGAAGAAACACTTCCTAGCAGATTCCAAGGGTATGTTGACATGCTTTTTGACTGGATTCTTCCTGCCTAGTGTTTGTCAAAGTTCTGACAGCTTTTGGTGACTTGCAAGAGAATTCCTAGTCAAGAACATCTTTCTTACCTACATGATGAATTCGCCAGGAAGGTGTGAAGGTGTGGAAGATGAAATTAGCATTGAGGACATGAAAAAAAGTGCGTAATCAGGAAGAAGAAAAGGTTTTCTTTAAAAAAAAAAAAAAACTATTTTTGAAAGAGAGAGGGAGAGACAGAGAAAGAAACAAAAATGGAGAATGAGCAAGACACAGAGAAGAGATCGTCCACCTGTTGATTCATCCCCCAGATTGTTGCAACAGCCATTGCTGGGCTAGGCCAAAGACAGGAGCCGGGAACTTCCTTCAAGCCTTCACATGGGTATAGGGTTCCAAGCACTTAGGCCATTTTTTACTGCTCTCCCAGGCACATCAACAAGGAGTTAGATCGAAAGTGGAGCCGTCTGGAGACAAACTAGCACCCATGGGATGCCAACATCATAGACCATAGCTTTATCTGCTATGCCTCCAAATTATAAGATTTTATTCAAAACATTGACTCTTTTTTTTTATTAAAATAGCTATTAGAATTACATCCCCTTATGCAATTAAAATGTTCATTCCTTCATTAAAAAATGCTTTGGAATTAGGTACTTGGCCTGATGGTTAAGATACCTGCATTACACATTAAAGTGCCTGGGTTTAATTCCTAGCCGTTGATCCTGACACCAACTTCCATAAGGCTGGACCTTGGGAAGCAGTGGGTATGGCCCAAATAATTGGTTCCCTGCTACCCTCCTGGGACACCTCAACTGGGTTCCTAGTGTCTGCCTTTGGGCATGGCCCAGCCCCAGCTGCTGCGGACATTTGTAGAATGATTCAGTTCATGAGAGAGTGCTCCTTGTACCTCTCAAATAAGACATGTAAGCATTTCTTAAAAGTAAATGTTATATAAAGAAGAATAAATACAAGAATCTGTAATAATATATTTTAGATCAGCAGAAAATTCACTTAATTTTTAGAGTAGATAATTTCGTACAAATTCAGTTCTAAAATAATGTTTTGGACTTGTACTGCTTCATTAGTTAAAAAAGATTGACAGGGTACAATTATAATGGTGAGAATTCTTTTTTTTAATAGTCACAGAAATTAAGTTAGAAGAGTTTTCCTTTAGAAAGATGCAGAATTTACCCCTTCTATTCTTAGGAAATAATATTCTAGCAAAAATATCTTACCTTCAAACAAACCTTCATGTAAAATATTCATATCCATGAATTATATAGAAATTAGCATAAGAGATATTCTCTCTTCCCATCTTAATTTGAATGTATGCATCATATACACCTGACATTTATAAAGCTACAAATTACAAGGAAAAACATTACATACGTAAATTTTCAGCTTGCAAGGTAGAAGTAAACCTAAGATCTTCACTCAATCTTGAAACTTAGATGGTTTTGCAAATAAGTTCTAATCAATATCAATGGTACCATTTCTTTCTTTTTTAAAAGATGTAATTTTTTTTAAGTTTATTGGAAAGTGTGATTTACTGAGAGAAGGAGACACAGAGAGAAAGACCTTCCATCTACTAGTTCACTCCACAAATGTCCTCAATGGCTGTACCCGGACCTTCCCAAAGCCAGGAGCTAGGAACCTCTTCTAGGTCTCCCACATGGGTGCAGGGTCCCAAGGCTCTGGACCATCTTCTTCTGCTTTCCCAGGCCACAAGTAGGGAGGTGGATGGGAAGTGGAGCAGTCAGGGAACATGAACTGGCACCCATTTGAGATCCCAACAGCTACAAAGTGAGGATTTAGCCATTAGGCCACCGCACCAGGTCCATGGTACCATTTCTTTCAGGAAGCTTGTAAGGAGGAATTTACACATTTTTGGGACAGAGACTAAGTGACAAATATGACATCTGATGACCTAACTGTCCTCCTGAGACAGTCCTCTACAGGGCTCATAAAATGGAAGAGCTGAATAAAGTAGTATTTTACATTATTCTTAGTTAACTTCAGGGACGTGATACATGTATATTACATTATTACTAATCTACCTTGGCATGGATTGAACAGCATTTGGTTCCACATATTCATGCAGACATTAAAATGCCAGAGTCTTAAGTTAATTGTTAAGGAATTAACAGCTGGTGGATGAAGGATGGGGACTTCCCCCAGTCATGGTGTCTGATGGTGGGAAGGGAAGGGGAGGGACTGGTCTGAGTCAGATGGCAGGGCAGAACACCATGATCGAATTGTGATGGCTTTGTGAAGAAAGAACCCGATGCGGGGAGGAGGAGCGTGCTTCCCCAGTCTCTCCAGTTCCTAACTCACTGTCCCAGTTCACGTGTTCTGCTTCTTGTCAGCCTCCATCAGACACCAGATCAATGAGCCTGCCGATCGTACCCCAGGAACCTCCAAAACCATGAGCTCAAAGCAGCCTCCTTCCTCTCTCAGATGTTTTAGTTCAAGTAACCAAAAGCTGACTCCAGCAATATCTGTGATCCTTGCTCTTTCTGGAAACTGGCATTTACTAACCATATGCCTGATGTCATTTATCATTTGAGGATTTTCACCTAAGAGGAACCGCATGATTACACTCAATTGAACTTTACACTGGTTAAAAAAAAAAATAGTGACCACAGTAGCTATAGATCGCTATTTATTCTTTTACAGGCAGATCAAAGAGGAAAACCATGCAGGACATCTTCTGCAAAGTCTCGTTTCTTATTTACAAAGGACCTGCGTTAGCCAGCTTGTCACCACTATAACTCTACACCTGAGACAAATGATATGTGAGCGCAAGGAGGAGCGCTGTTGTTTTTTTATTGTTTTTTGGTTTTGTTTTCGCTCACAGCTTTGGCTTGTGACTCTCAGGCAGGTGGGTACCACTGGTCCAGGGGGTGACATTGTCAGTGGCCCATCAGGGAGCATGGGTGAGCACATACTCAACAAGGAGACGTGGTGGGTGGGCCTGGAAGCAGAGGAAGTGGCCAGTCCCAGCTCTCAGGGCACATCCCCCTATGCCCACCTCCCAGACACAACAAACAGCTCCCACCCTCTTGGTAGCATTGGCACAGGCATGAGTTCAGGAATATGTGTCCTGTTCACGGTGCCACCAACAACCCATGAACACGATGTGATGTACATGGAGGAGTAGCTATGGAGCTCTCTGCATCTGAGGTTCACTTATCAAAAAACAAAAATTAAAAATCCCACTCGCCTCTGATTGTCTTAAACACTCTGACACTGTGCTTCTGATGGTACGTGGTGCTGAGATTAGAGTCTTCATGTTATCTTAAGGTACTCGGGTCTTGGGAGCTTAACCTATTAAATCTTTTCAAAAGCTCAGAGCAGGTGCAGAGTGCACGACCAGCTCTCTTTTCTATAATTGTGTGGATTGCTACCACATGAGCATGGCTTGTTACTCAGACGAGTGCTAGGGTGCAGGCAAACACCAGGCAGCTGTAGAGGATGACCTCCGGAAGCCAGCCCAGAGGCAGGCCAAATGGCCACAGACAAGGCATCAAGGTGCATTGCAGGCCTGGGTTGTTGTGGAAGGCAGCTCTAAATGCTCAGTCCGGCAGGTGCCATGCTGCCCCCAACAAACTCGTCCAGTTGTCACAGGGCCAAAAGGCACCTGTGCCTGCAGCTGCTCTGCACTGGCTGCTGTGCTGTTGGACAGTAACCCCAGAATTGACCCCACCTGTCCTGTGGATGTGAAAACGCCACACATAATCATTTTATCCACGTTTTTCTGCTCAGCGTAACACTGCATCTTATTACGGCGAAAGGTTCCGAATATGGACCAACTCCAACAGAAGCACAAACGGCCACCTGTGTTTTAAGGTTCCCCAACACAAAGCCCTTTTCCAGAGATGGCATGAACTGCCAGTTTTACCACCGGCTGAAGAGCTTCCTCTGCAGTTCCATTTTCATTGGCATCCATTTAACATCACTAGAATCTCTGTCCACCTCCCTGCCCATAGCATCAAGGACCACCCTAGGCAGGTGCTCAAGTCCACGTAACAAGTTACCCAGGGAGAGATGTGACAATGGTGGGTGAAGAGTCCCAAGAGGAACCTTGGACATATTCATCACAGTAAATTTCCTGAGTGGGATTAGACCAGGCTGTCCACCTGGGATGCTTTAAAATGCACAAAAATGCAATAAAATTTACATGACTTGAGCAAATTTTTACTTTGATGAGCTGTACAAAGAAGATAGCTGAGTGAATTGTTTTTGCTAGTGATAATCTAAAACAGAAAATGAAGTCTTAGACTTAAAAGCCATTCTTGAAATTGTCACAAATAGTCGATGCCTGTTAACTGGATAGTAGTAAAAAAACTCAGGCTGCTGGAACTGCTGCTTAACTGCTTTGATTCATACTGACTTCTTCCTTTCTTGCCAGGATCAACCTTCTAATGTCCTTGGACACTGTGCAGTGATAATGGTCTGTACCTTTCTTAGGCACAAACTAAAAGCCAGGTTTGCTTCTCCTGGAATTTGAAGGATTTTTTCCTTCCTTCCTTCCTTCCTTCCTTCCTTCCTTCCTTCCTTCCTTCCTTCCTTCCTTCCTTCCTTCCTTCTTTTTCCCATATCAGAGTGAGATTCCAGGGTTCCTTGTATTCTCTAAACTTTTACAGGTCATCATTTGATGGGGTTGGAGCAAATTTCAAGGCTTGAGTGCTTGGCAATGTTAGTACCTAGCTAAAGAAGCAGAGCAAAACTAAACAGCAAAGAACGATGAGAAACAAGCTGAAAGTATCAAACAAAGGCAAAAAAAAAAAGTTATGACTGCTGAGAAAATGACAATTTTGGCATAAACATCTGCAGAGCCACTGTGGGCTGTAAGTTGATTATAGGTATGCAAAAGGGCAAGGAAAGCCAAAAGTTGTGTGAGGATCTGCTCCTCAGAAGATGGGCAAATCTGCTAATGTCTCGCAGCATGAAAACCATCTTTACCAAAGTACCGTGCCGCCCTGGCATAGCACGAGAGCAGTGATCAGGCACAATGTGACAGCTGCATCTTTTGTTAAATAGAAAGATATCTCCACTCTGGACCTCTGCTTTTAAAATTATTGGCCGAGTTCGGAAAACACATACTTGTAAAATGGGGCCCAACGGGCAGGAGAAGGGTAAGCTTTTCCTTGGCATGCAGGCAGCCTTCCTTCCAAAGACCAGTCCACAAGTTCAGCAGCAAATGTTCGGTTCACCTTATATCCCCTTGGTTGACGTGGGGGGGGGGGGGGAGGGGAGAAAGATGACTCAATTTTTTTCATTCTCCGTTTCTTTCCTGGAATAAAATAGCCAGCATCCCAAGACAACAGAGGACTCTCACTTTTGGAGGTCAGAATTGGGATCAGGTTTGAGTGGAGGCTGATTTGGCACGAGTGGGAGTGGCCAATGGGTGGGCTGTTACTCTTAGCGTGGGGGTGCGGGCACACATCACAGAGGACGCGTGAGCTCTTGGAATGCAGACAGCGAGTGCTGGGGGTGTGAGTCACGCTGCAGGCCCACACTTCTGCTAATCTTCTCTTTGGTTCCAACCACCTTCAAACTCTCCAGGAGACAGATGGGTGATGGCCACCCCTCCCCCATACACACACCTGCACCCATACCACACGCAAGGGAAGCACGGTCAAGCCAGAACGAGCGTGGGGGAAACATGGAAGGGAAGGTTATTTTGGCAGAAAAGAAAAATGTTTGTTCTTTCATTGAAAATTCTCAGTTCCTCTGAGAAGTCCCAGGGGAGACAGGAGGCAGCCAGGTCAAGGTTGGTTAAGCCCCCAAAGCATGCTTCCTCATCGCTGCGGGGTAGGGGAGGGGAAGGCGAGGGTCTCTCCCCACGTCTTCTTGGTGGATGCAAACCAGCCCACCAACCCCCAGGATGAGGCTCACGATCATTCTCACGATAGAACTCTCCAGAAAAAAGCTTCTGCTCTGGGTAGTTGGCCTGCTGGTGAACTTGATTACCACAAGCACTTTACCAGAGTGAGCCAGAAGAAAACCATAGGTGAAAACAGCCTCCTGGTTAAACCCTAAGGAATGAAGCCAAAAGGTGGTGAGGACGGGAGAGCAAGTACCACCAGCCAGGAGTTAGCCCAGAGCAGGGAACGTCCTAGGGTCAGAGCGGAGCGCGTCGCCCGTTGCTCCATCCTCAGAGGCAGAGAGGCACGGCAGCCAGGTCTTTTACTGGGGCTCAAAGGCCTGTTTTTCCGAGTGCAGGTGTAGCCACCATTAGGAAGAGCAGGCATTGGGAAAACAGCAAAAGGTTCTCGTGTCTCCGTGGGTTGGAAATTCATTAAGCCCTGTCGTCTTGGTCGTCCTCGGGCAGGCTGGGTAGGTTCACTCAGCAAGGCTGCTCCTCTTGGAAAACAGAGCCCTGCTCCGCGTTAGGGTTCATGGTCACTGTAAAAGAAACCGAACAATAGTGCACCTGCAAGAAACTACCAAGAGGTGGTCCCTGCATCGCGTAGGTGGCTCAGGAGAGCAGAAGTGGGCAGGAAGTGGGCAGGGGCCAGCCCGCCATGCCTGAAAGCAAAGGTCAGCTCAAGTTTCGTATTTGTTTCCCTGAGCAGGAAGTCCATGGAAGACAAGATCCCCAGCTCCCAGCCTCCACCTCCTTCCCAGTGCTGATGTGGAGAGGAGCAGATGGAGTTGGCCTTCCCCCTTAATTAAATCTAATCCCACTCTATGAATGCGCACCAAATGGCCTTTAAAGGTTGTTTTGCTTCCCCCCGTCCTTCCCGCAGCCCACAAGGCTATTTTCTTCCCTCAAGACTTTGTGGTGCCGACCTGGTTTTAGTCACCTGTTTTCCTACCCACACACGGCCTGGAGGTGTCCCCTCCCATGTCTTCTAGAATTCAGTCATCGGGTATCTTGGGGATGGGAGTAGACAGCAGTTACGGACGTGGTGCTTGCACACCACCCGGCTCTTGACTACTTCCGGCTTTTGTTTCCAACGTGGCTGTCCGTTGCCAGCTAGCTCGCTGCGTGGGGCTTTCTTTTTCTCTCCCTGTGGACTCGTGGCTCCACCCTTTTTCTTTCTCCTGGAAGGCAAGCTGCACTCTCCTCCCTCCCATTTCTCTTTTGATTTGTGTGTGTCCCCTTGGTGGAAATTCCATCGTGTCCCTGCCGGAAGTGGCCGCTGTTTCCTGGGACTAGGGCTTGAATGCTGGGAGCCCTGTGGGGTGGAGTGGCCTCCACTCACACGTGTGCGTGGCAGGTAGCAGATCCGGCTCTCCCATGCACGCTGTAGCGCTCCCTGTGCCTTGATAGAGAGGACTTTGAAATAACCAGGACAGACAGATGGACTGACTGATCTTAGATTTGTTCACAAAAGGCAGATGAAGATGGTCGTGTGTGCATGTGTGTGTGTGTGTGTGGAGAGAGAGAAAGAGAGAGAGAGAGAGAGAGAGAAGCTCATAAAAGGAGGGGCTAACAGTGGGGAAACAGAGAGAAGAACTTAATTTGAGATGGGGGAGGGAAGGAAGCAGCCACAGCAACATTTACTTAAAATGCAAAGCCAGGGCAGCAGTTAGCACGCAGCCTGGGTTGCCTGCATCCCTTAGTAGAGTGTCTGAGTTTGAGTCCCAGCTCCGTTCCCACATCCAGCTCCCTGATCATGGGACCCTGCCAGGGCCTCAGTAGTGATGGTCAGGTCCCTGGGGCCCTGCCACTCATGTGCGAGACCTGACTTGAGCTGCTGGCTCCTGGTTTCTGCCTGGTCCAGCCCCACCTGTTGTAGTAGGGCCTGGTAGAAGGGAGCTGTCTCTCTCTCCATCTGTCCTCTCTGCCTTTCAAAATAAATGAAAGTGGAAATCAAAACATTTGTACCTGAAGAGTGGACACTCAGCATTGCCGTGCCTTCACTTAGGTCCATCCTGACCACCTCGTACAACGGGCAAGGAGGCGTTCTCACGGGCAGCCCAGTAACCCGGGAAGAACTCAGCCTTGTGGGCTTTTTTCCTCCCTTCTGTGTCCTTCTCTTGGAATTCCAGTCAGTTCTGCAGAGAGCTGCGCCAGCAGAGAAGCTGACCAGCAGTGGACAGAACCCTTCTGTTTTTCTCCATGCTGTTCTGTGTCCAGCTGTTAGAACTGGAGTGATTTTGTAAAATGAACTGTTAGAAAACTAGCCATATTCATAGCTGAAAAAACTGGAAAGTACACCGAAGACAAAAACACCAATAATCTCAATGTTGTTAGCGCTCTGGTAGTTCCTTAACTCTTCTGTGGCAATAACACATAGCCTGGGTGTGTTGAACCCAGGTCCTCTATGCGGATGGTTCCGTAATATGCTGCTCTCATCACCACTCACCTGCGGCCATCTTTGCTTCCTAATGAACATTCAATGTCACTGTCTTACTAGATTGAAAAGTAATTCAGTGGAGCTGGAGCTGTAGTGCAGTCTGCCACGCTGGCATCCCATATCAGTGCCAGTTCAAGTCCCACCTGATCCTTTCCCTTTCCAGAACTCTGGGAAAGCAGTGGAAGATGGCTCAGGTGCTTGGGCCCCTGTCACCCATACCAATGACGTGAGTCTGCACACTTCCTGACTTGGCCTGGTTCAGTCTTACCCATTATGGTCATTTGGTAAAAACTAACCAGCAGATGGAAGATCTCTCTGTCTCTGTCTCTCTCTTTGTAATTCTTCCTTTAAAATAAGTAGTTAAAAAATTTGTTGACACCTTTAATAAACCTTAGGCTACTTTCAACTTTCATTTCTACAAATACTGCTACATGCTTGCACACTTCCAATTGTTACTTTGGCATAAAGCTCTAGAAAAGGAATTGCAAGTCAAGTTGCTGGCAATATTAAAGCTTTAATAGTGCATGACCATATTATTCCTTTCCCCTAGAAAATGTGTATAATTTAAACTGTACCAATACTTCCCTTTAGGAAAATATTTTTATGCCAACATCCAACAACAACAAAAAAAGTGGGTTTTTTCCCCCATTTTATTTGGAAAGCAGAGCCCACCATCGGCCATCTGCTGGTTCACTCTCTAAATGCCCAAACACCCAAGACTAGGCCAGCTGATGCCAGGCCACCCAGGGGGATTCTCGGCACCCAAGTACATGGGCAGCTTCTGCTGCATTCCCAGGGTGCACAGTAGAGGGAACTGGACAGGAAGTGGAGGAGCTAGGAATCAAACCAGGCTCTCCAATTTGGAATGCAAGCATCCCAAGTGACGCCTTGACCACTGACCCAAATGCCTGCCCTTACCTTTACTTAAACTGACCTTAAAAAAATCATTCATTTTATTTGAAAGGCAAATTACACAGAGGGGAGAAAGAGAGAAAGATCTTCTATATGCTGCAGTGCCAGGGCTGGGTCAGGCCGTACCCAGGAGCGAGGAGCTTCGTCTGGGTCTGCCATGTGGGTGACAGGAGATGGAGCACTTGGGCCATCTTCCAGTGCTTTCCCCAGGCGGTAAGAAGGGAGCTGGATTGGAGCAGCCAGGACAAGGATTGGTGACCATATGGAGAGCAGGCGTTGCAGGCGGCCACTTTATCCAATGTGCCACAACAGTCGCCTTGTTTATTTACTTTTTTTTATTACTAAGAAGAACAAACATTGTTGAAAGTTTAATTGATCATTTCTTCTCTTGTTGAATTGCTTGCTGATCCTTTTTTTGCGCCTAGTTCAGATGAGATCATTATGTTTGGTTTGGTTACTGAGTCTAATTTTTTGTTCATTATACAGAGTGGAAAAAAAAACTCCGTATGAGGTCATTTTCCTCCTAGTGTGATTTATTGAGTTTTCTGAAGTATGCAAGTGCTGAGTTTTTAATGTAATTGAATCTATCCTTTTTTAAAAAATTATTTCCAAATTGTATATAATTCTTTCAAGCCAGTCCCCCTCAAAGAGCTTATCATTTTTTCTTAACTTTTTCTGCACATTTTGAATATTTAAACTTATGAAGAGTTTAAAGCATTTTAAATGTAAAACAGCTTAATGCTTGTAGAGAATGCATGGTAGAAGTTCTAGAATTCTCTCCCAATGTTAGCCAGTTATCCCAATTATTCCCAGAATGATCCACCTGTTGGGAAATGTTCCTCCCATAACATACACATTTCCACGGACTTGTGCCTTTTTCTGAAATTTCCTTCTATTTCTTTAATATTTCTCATTTGGTTCCAAGTAGACAGAGTTTTAACTTTTGACAAATCTTCCCTCGCCCGCTGCCACTCCAGTTGTCCCATCACTCCCATCTGTGAGAACTGTCCTGGGTACTTGAGCAGTCATTTCTCAGGATGCAAAGTGCACCAAGATTTTTAAGAGACTGATTTTAAGTTTTACCCTGGGGAGACTTTAGTTGTGGAACACACTATGCCTCTCCATTTGTCCGAATGTGTATGACTTTCAACAAGCATATGGATGTTTCTTTAGGCTCTCCGCTTAGCTCCCACTGTGTGTTCTTTTGCATGATATATTCGCACTGGTGTATGTGCTGACATGTGGCTTGTGTAGCGTAATGGATAAAAGCTCAGGGTCAGATGGCCAGCTTTGGGGTCAAGGCTCAACCACTTTGCTGCAGGGCGATGATGGGGAAGCTAGTCTTGGCCTTGTGCCTCGGTGTCCCTGCTGAGAGAGACAGCAGGTCAGCACAGAGGGGGTTAGCTCTCCCTGGTGGCCCCTTCATGGTCAGCCCACCACCTGAGCCTGAAGTCCTGGCTGTCTCCTAGGTGCGGGCCTGTAGTGAGTTAGACACGCCCCCCTGCCCAGAGGTTGTTTCTTTTCTCAGCAAAATGATCAGACAACCCCTGGCAGTGCTAACCTGGGCAAACGATGGGCTTCCTGGGCAAAAACATCTTGCCAAGGGCCCAGCACAGTAGCTTAGCAACTAAAGTCCTCGCCTTAGATGCACTGGGATCTCATATGGGTGTGGGTTCAAATATCTCTTTCATGGTGGTCCCTGCCTTCAGCTGCAAGCAGCCAACAGCTCCTCTGGCTAGTCTGTCTTGTAACCACCCTGTCTTTTTTTTTTTTTATGACCCAGCCAAGGAGCCTCATCTGCAGGGCACGGCAATAAATCTGTGTGAAGCCTTGCTGCTGTTGAGATGTTCTCTAACTTGGTTTTCATTGCATGCAGAATTCAGTTCAGCACAAAGTCATGTAACAATTGGATTAGGTTCTTTCCCATCATCAATATCATTGTCCCTTCTTCCCGCAAGAAGTCTGGCCTGGGTGGCTGATTAGGCAGCCTAGGATCCATTTGAGACATATAGATCAGGCCATGGGACAGACGTCATCTTGGCCACTGTCCAAGCAATGCGTTGGGCTTTTAGATTTTTCACATCTTCCCTCCTCTGCTATTCGCACATGCATATACATCCATGCACACCATGCACATACCTGTATTTTACTGTTATTGAGGCTATCCACGGGATTATTAGCTATCCA